ATATTGATGCGCGCATCATTTTAATTAAAGTGTATTATAACGCATATATTTATTTATAAATATTAAACAAAAACGACTAGTTAAAACATCACTAAATGATCTGAATATTTTTAAAATGAATAAAAGTTTTTTTGAAGACTATGTACCGATATTTTAAGATACGTAAAAGAAATTAAACGTCAATAAGAATTCTCGTATACTAAATCGCAAATGATACATTAAGTCATAGGTGCGATTCGTTTCATCAATGAGCTAGAATTCCATATATGTATATGCTCATCCCAAGAACAAGTAGATATTTGCCCTTCAATATATAAATTAAAATCTACACCTAAAACAAATTCAGTATGTGCATCATACACTTCCACCAAAGGATCAATCAAAGTAGTATTCCACAATCTCACTGTCATATCATATGAAGCAGAAGCAATAATATTGCCATCATGTGGAGAACACTTCACCCTTCTTATAGCGTATCGATGCCCACGTAGACAAGTTACTTCACGATCAGGAAATCTTAAATCCCATACTTTTACTGTATGATCCGACGAACCAGTGACAATAACATTCTCTTGATATTTATTCCAATCTAGAGAAAGAATTTCATTATTATGAGCTCGTATAGTTTGAGCGGATCTTGGAACTTTTACATCCCAGATTTTGAAAGAATTATCACCAGAGGCAGAACCAAAAACATCGGGATTATAAGGAGACCAAATAGTACTATACACACATGCAGTGTGCTCAGAGAATATGGATAATGATTGTGGAACTTCAGGACGCCACTAAAAAGTTATTATAAACTTTGAAATCTTTATATAAAATAAGAAAGGATCAAATGAATAAGGAAATAAACAAATACCAATCTGATAGTATGATCCCAAGAACCACTAACAAAAGAATCTTTTTTGATTAAATTCCAATGTACAGAAAAAACCTCTCTTTGATGTTCTTTCCATTTTTTTATTGGAAAATCCTAATCCAAAAAAAACATAGTCTGCATTAATATTAATGCAGGTA